AATCAAAATGGTACCAAATGCTACCCTAAAATCCAACACTAGTAATTTTGATTCAAGATGATAAATGAGTTTGTATGATATCAAATATTTGTTCTTGACTTATTTAATACTTTATAAAAATATATTTATCTTTCATCCATACCAAAAATCTCATAATAAAGTTATTTTCTCAAATAATTTTAAAAATATATTTTTATATCAATCTCATCCATTAAGTTTAAAAAGCACAAATTAAAAGGCCAAAACCATTGTTGTCTTGTATTGTAGTAGCAACTATTTTTTACCTCCTCATATAAAATAAAATGTTTGGCCAGCTTAATAACTTATTTTTTTTTATTGAACACCATTTAAAATTGTGTTATGAATCATAATTTTATAGAAATTAAAATATTTTTTATTTATAAAAATTTATTTTTTATTAATTTTTCTTATGAAAATTTATGTCATAATAATTTTAATTTCACTTGTTTTTTTTTTAAATTTATTTTTTTAAAAATAATTATTATAAATTATAACCGCAAAAATTATTATAATAAAGAATACCCAGCCGAAAATCTTACCCCACCAAAATTTGAAGGCCATACAGCCCAATATTCCCAAAAGATTTGCAATGATTTTTTTTTTTCTTATTATTATTCTTGAACATGATGAAGGCCATCGAAAGAGCTGCTTGCTTGTGTCATCGTTCGCTTCACCTTTTTTTTCTTGACTAGTGGTGAATATAACATCAAGATGAATACAGTAGAACGTGACACTTGAAAATAATCAAATATCTATTCTCCACTTTTTTCTCCATTTCTTTTCCTTTTCATATCCTAACAGACCACACTAAATTCACTCGTGTCTTTTTCAACATTTTCGTTTCTTTCCACCACGGCAACTCATCGGAGTACAGACCGGGAACCTTGAATTCCGGCGGAGATGGTTTCACCAAATGATAATGCTAGCTGGGTTTTTGATTGTGGGTTGATTGAAGACGTTCCTGTCCCTGGTGGTGAACAACTTTGTCTTGAATCTCTTGATGAAACCCCAAACGGGTCTCTTTGGTCTTCTCATTCTTTCAATGATACTGCCTTTTTAAGGTGTCTTTATGTTTCCTTTTGTTCAATGAACATTTTGTGATTGGTAAAATTCAATTTCCGTCCCTTTATTACAGCAAGTAGGTAGCTTCGTTGTTGTTGTTGTTTTGTTTAGAAATTTATGTTTGATTTGTGAATTTAGTTTAGTATGGTGTCTGAAAAGACTGAATTCTGTTGCATATTGGACAGTATGAATTGAGATGTCAATAGCAAAATGGGTTTTGCAAGTTCTGTTGATTAGCAACCATGCTAATGTTTGTTGCTAGAATAGAACTCGGTGGATTTGTTGATGAGTTTTTGAGATTTTTTAGCAATATGATTGTTCTTCCACTGTTACAAGTCACCTACTTTTTGAGGTTTTGATGATAGTATCATCTAATCCCTTCCCCAATATAGTTGGAAGATTGTTAATTTGTTTTTCTATTTTCAACAAAAGAGAGATCTTTTTTATTTTTTTATCCAGACATTGGCTTACTTATTCAGGTTTATTGGTATTGCTGTAAGTGGTTTTTTTAGTACTGGGATTTGGATTTACTTCTGATTAGGAATGAGTAGTTAATATGGCTGAATGGTTCCATTTAATTCTTATTAAGTGTGATATTAGGTTTTCATTATGAATTTAATTACCAATTACTGGTTTTTTAGTATATCTTTCTCGATGCTGCTATAGGATGTTTAGCAACACTGCAACCATTGGAGGGTTTCTGCTAAGTTGTGTGCTCAAGGATGAGGATTTTGATCATAGGAATAGCCGTATATGTCTTATTTGCATGTCTACATTTCATGTGCATGCACACAAAGTTCAAGTTTTTGCTTTCTTGCATGTTAGTTTTGATGTAAGTGAATCAACTCTATCTGTTTTATAGATGTTCTAATCATTATCTCTCTCTATCCTTTTTGTTTTCAGTGCGGAATTCAATAATTCATTTGAGAATTCAGATGGTCTTAAGGAAATTGGGTTTCGAAAACGGTACTGTGTACGCAGATCAATAATAATTTGTTAGTCATTTCTTTGATTTTTTTTCCATTTCTGCTTTTGTTCTACACAAACTTTTATTTTTGCACAAATTGTATGACAGGGTGAGGCATGGATCAGGTAATGCACCTGGCTCCAAGGCATGCAGAGAGAAAATGCGGCGGGATAGGCTGAATGACAGGCATGCTAAAGAGCCCTTCTAATGCTCATCTTCTTTGTTCTCGTTTTCCCTCATGTTTAGTTTGTCATGGACTCCAGATTCATGGAAATGGCTGCTCTTCTAGATCCTGGAAGGCCTCCTAAAGTGGACAAATCTGCTATACTAGTTGATGCTGCTCGAATGGTGACTCAGTTACGAGATGAATCTCAGAAGCTGAAAGAGTCTAATGAGAGTCTACAGGAGAAGATCGATGAACTAAAGGTGTGCTTTGGATTTGGTATTCAGTAATTTGACATTATCTTTAATCTGGAACACCTAAAAAAGGCTTGAAAAATGCATGCTATAAATTATATGGAATCTGTTACTATAAGTTATTATGCAAAGGAAACCTGGCAAGTACTGTTGTCGTTTATCTTCTTTTAACTTTGTATATGTAGGCAGAGAAGAACGAGCTTCGTGATGAGAAACAGAAGCTAAAGACAGAAAAGGAGAACCTAGAGTGGCAACTGAAAGCCCTGAGTCCTCCACCAACCTACCTACCTCAACCCCCTGCCATTCCAGCTCCATTTTCTTCCCCAGGCCAAGTTGTTGGCAGCAAGCTGATGCCCTTCGTTGGCTATCCTGGAATATCTATGTGGCAGTTCATGCCCCCCGCTGTTGTTGATACCTCTCAGGATCATGTTCTACACCCTCCAGTCGCTTAAGTTATTCAGGCAGGGATTTGGTGTCTACATTCTCACAGAGCACTGGAAGCCTTTGTTGCCTTGCTAACTATGATTCTTGTTAATTGTCACAGATAATGTTTCTGTTCTTTCAATTGTCTTTTGTTCTCTTAGATTTGTAAAGTTTAAAAATGTATGAGTGCAATCACTGATGGGAAATTTGGAATTCCCAGGAATCACTGGGATATCTTTTAATTTTCATTAATCAGACTTGGTGATTTTGGTTTACCAGTTTTTATCTATCAAATCCATTTCTCATTTCTCGTTTGATACAGGTGTTTATGTGCACTGATGTATTAAGATTGGAAAATATCTTCCAAAAACACTTCCATAATTTTATGTCTAACGATGTTAGTGTCCTGGTTGCTCTTGATGGCTAATCTGAACATTAGGAGGATTTACATTTTGTTTTTGAAGTTTCCACAAGAATGTATCATGGTAGGGACTAAATTTACATGCATAAGCAAGTGCTTTTGCTAAATCTACAGCTTTTTATTTCAAGCCTGACTCAAACTGATTTCTAACCTTCGAACTATTTACTATTACAAAAACTAGCAACTGCAAATGGCTAAATATTACTACTGTAGTATGTTCAGCACCTGCTGGTTTATAGTTTGATGTCGGCAGCTCTCTTTTCTGTGTAGTATCCATGCTGTGAAAATAATTGCAAGAAGAATTTGGAGGGATGAGACAACCCGATATCCAAATCCACAGGATTCCACTGGTATAATACCCTGCATACACTTTGAACTGTCACATATAAACAAATATCCAAATATCCCAAGGGATAATACCTATAAAGCTTGAGATACCTATAACATTTGACAAGGTAAAAATTATGTCTGAGTTATCTTCATCCAAATCTAGAAAATTCTGTTCATCTGTCTAATCATTAGATCGTGACTTGCGAGCTGTGACTTCTGATTTTCAAGTTCAGAAGAAACTTATTGCATCAAATACATTGATGTTATTGTGTTTTATCAATGATAATCCACTTGGAGTTATAGCCTAAAAAATTTCATCGTTATGGCAAAATTGCATGTTTTTCTATATGCATGTCCTATTGCCGATTCTCCCAATTGTAAACTCCAAAATGAAGGAGCTCTGAACATGTCTTTCGTTATATTCCACTAGAGAGAAACAATTGAAAAATGATACAGCCTGGACTTAACCAGAGTTCAGCAGGAACTTCCACAAAATTTCTCTTTCAAAGTTCCTTTAATCGCGAAAAGAATGATATTTTTCAAGAATAACCTCTAGACTTTTATGGCTTTGATGAGTTGTGTGATTGCATTATGCTTTAGTGTTTTGTTCTGATAGTCCTACAGCACGTGTGTAGTCTGCATCTAGAGTGAATCATTACAGTGGTAGAAAAGGTACCACAGAGCTATTGGATGTTCCTAGTTAGATACCAGTGCTACAACTCAATGACTTGGTCATCCATGGGAAGATGCAGAACAATTCCAATCACTAATATTATGTATAATCTTGCAAAGAAGAGAAAATAAGTCATAAGTCTCCATACGGATTGCCACCAAGAAGATAGAGGAAGGAGAAGGAGAACCAGATCATGACTAACATCCCCAACTTCATCCATGGAAACCTCAATATGCCAAAAGTTAGTTCTACACCCAAAATGAGGCTCTCTGACACTCTCCACTTCCTTTAGTGCTAGTCTCATTTTTAACCAACCACTTCTCAAATTCCCACAACCATTTCTCTTCACTTCTTCTGATTCCAACTTCCAACGAAAAACACCATTCTTACAAGTCTTAAAGGTACTAGAACAAGAAAACCAGCAAACAAAATTGTGATTAGCCACTTTGCAAAAACAATATTACAAGTAATCCCTACACTAACTCCCAAGAACATACATGGTTCTGACAGAAGTGCAATATCATAATCTAACAAGGTCTTACCACCAAATTTATCACTTCCGGTACACAATTTACACACGAGATTAGCTGTAGACCCTCCCATGACCATAAAAGCTGAGAAATTTGAGGCTGGTTTCAGGTCAAAACCTGCCACAATAGTCAGTACAGGAATATACAACCCTCCACCACCAATGCCACCTGCACTAGATGTAGAAGCAGCTACGAAACAGAAAACTCCTGCTAGCAAAGCAGTACAGGAATATACAACCCTCCACCACCAATGCCACCTGCACTAGATGTAGAAGCAGCTACGAAACAGAAAACTCCTGCTAGCAAAGGTTATGGAGTAAAGACATCCGAATAGAGTTTGGATTAAGGGCTCAGTCTTCATAAGACATGCCTCTGCTGTTTGATTATAAGTTGGATGATCAAGGTGTGAGATAATGAAGTTGGCATTGGAAATGTATCACGATAGCTAAAATTGATGGGTCAAAGGAAAACAAATAGAGGGGAATTTTGATGGGGTGAGGACAGTGTGGACGTGGTCCGGAGGAGAGGGACCAAATCAAAACCTATCTAATAGGTTGAGGGCATATTTGTAGTTTTCCTAATACTAATTGTTTCATTTCTAACTATTTAAAATTTTACCTATCTAAGAATTATTTTATACCATTGCTCCTTGATACAAGTGAGAAAGGACTTCGTGGGTCAATCCCCAAAGACTTCCCTTACTTTCGTGTTGAATTTGGTCCAAGTAGGGGGTTTATTCATGTTGTTGATGACAAGAAAAACTTCAAAAGCATCCTTGGCTTGAATGTGATTCTGAAGAAGTCGTGGAAATACTTCACATAAAAATTGACTTTTCTTGTTTGGTGAGTTTTGAGCTTGTGTTACTTCTATGAAAACAAGTTTTTTTTTTAATAAAAATATATTTTAATATTTAAATTAATATTTAAGTTTTTTTTAGATGACAAGCATGTATAATAATAATAATTTTTTATATGTAAAGAAAAAAGATGTTTATGTTTTTTGGTTCATTGTATAATTTATACAATGAAGTTGTATAATAAAGAATGAGCTAAGTGTCAATAATTCATTAACCTATAAAAATAAATTATAAAATTCAATTCTTAAAATATCTTTTTAAATTGAGGAATGAAAAGATGTTATTTATGTTTTATAAAATAAATTAAGAAATATATGAATTTATAAATAAAAAGGAGTTTGCTAACATAAATTAATTATTAAGCAATAAACTAATCTTTATAATAAAAATAAAAAATAGATGTATATACAAATAAGAATTAATTAAATTAAAAAAAATCTAAATAGAACTCAATTTACCCTTTTGGTCATGTTTGTAGAAAAAAACACCACCATCGAATTCTCTCGTAGTCAAATAAAATCTATTAATACCAAGAACATTGAGTTTCATTGTTAAAGGTGGTCATTCACAGATCTAGCCTTATCTTTCATTTGATTTTTTTCAGGCAGCTTTATCTCTTTTCTTTTAAATTCATGGACTAAAATGTTAAGAAAATAAATCTAAACCAAACTTAAAATTATAAAAATTAAAAGGATTATAAAAGTAAGAAAAGGAAAGTAGGTGGACTAAAAAGACTTTTCTATTGAATTTGAAATTGATCACATGATTTCTATTTGTTTCATACTTTTGTCATTTTTTTATTGAATTCTTTTTGTTAACAAACTTTAATTAAATGGTTATTAATTTGGGTATAAAAGGCTGTGATTAAAAATAAAAATTGGAGAACAAAAATAGTTAAAAAAATTTGAGTTACCATGCATTGATATAGGTGTTTTAATATATTTTGTGATTGTAATGTAATCTTTATATGTCTTCTTTAATCGATGTCAGTCACATTTGATGTGATGAAATTCTTTACATTTATATAATTGAATGCCCTTTCCATTGACTCTAGATAAACCTACCACTATGAGATATGTTTGAAGTTGATCTTCCTCTGCAATTCACCCCTCCATTGTATAGACTATATTTCTTCTATATGATCTGACTCTCGCAATATATCCTGATAGAAGGCATCATAGCCTGTACTTACCATACCCTTTCCATACAACAAATTGTAGAAATCAAGGAAGAGAGATAAGAAGCAAATGAACCTTGTATTCTGCCTTAATCTTTACATCAATTTTCCACTATTGATCCGAAATTCTTATGAGATTTCCATTTTTTCTGTTTCTAGCTTATAAAGTTGCCATTTAAATGTAACTGATTGATCAAACTCCACTAGAAAAAAAGATTTTTCAACTTTCTTTTTTATATCACAGGCATCAAGTTTTCATCTATAACATTATTAATAATGCCATCAGCACTACAAAGGTGAACGTGCTTATATATCCTTGTTGAATAGGGCTTGGCGAAAGCATTGAATGGAAATGATGGAAAGCTAGAGGAAATCGAGTATGGCGAGGAGTACGTAGTTCGAACGCCAAGCCATGGTAAGTTGATGCTTGTCGCCAGCAGACTTCTCTCAAGATGAAATCCAAACTAATCTTTCAAAACCGAAGCTATAATCCTTCCCATTTTAAATTAAACATACGTCAAGTGTAATTTATAAAAACAAATAAACAATTTTTAAGAATTACTTTTTATTAATTTTCATATGTTATTTATATTACTTCTTCCATCCGTGACAAATGTTGACATATATTTCAATGAATCAAATGATTTTATGTGTTACATGTTAATTTTTTTTTTAAATAGTTATCCTATATATATATTTGACCAATCAAATGATTTCATGTAAAATTAATAAAATTAATTAAAATATATGTAAACTTATCTAAATATTTATATTAATAAAAAAAAAATTTAATCTTATCAAGTAAAAGTGTAAGAATATTTTTTTTAAAAATACTTTAAATTTTATAATTTATGTGATAACTCTTTACATAACAGCATCACCAAAAAAGTGTAATTAATTTAATGACCATAGTTCCTCTATACGAGCTGCTGCAGAAGCTCTTGCACTGTAGGGGGCAAATGCAATGACCAAATAGAATCACTTGAAAATGTTTGATCTCTCATAAGCTGTCCAGCGCAGTGACACTAGGTTATAATGATTCAAGCTCCTCAATCATCTTCAGATTAAAATTAATTAAATAATTAAGCACAAGTTACAGATTTGCTCGCACAACTTTCAATTCTATTATTTCATAAGATTAGGAAGAGGTAAATGATATAATGATTTCATTCATTACGGGACCTGTTTATTTATTTATCCAGACAATCTACTTACAAATTAAAAATTATAATCTCCCAAAGTCCCATTACTTAGCTTTTTGTGCCCGTCTCCAATTCCATGGTTTAGGTGATGACTGTAGAAGGCAACAACATGAACTGAACCAGAAGCAACAAACTACGCTTGGATTGACTATAATTTTTATATTGCTAAGCATATCTATCTGAAGCGTCATTTAAGCAAATAATTTGAATTACATTAATTTTATACCGCTATGCATAAGCATTCATGATATAAATAAGTGTTGCTAGGTTTCATTGACTTCTATCTCATAGTGCTAAACACATTCAAAGCACAAGGAGTTGACTTTACAATAGAAAAAGGCAAAAAATGTAACGATTTGATAGTTTTGATTAAGATATCAACATAAATAGAGAACTTAGCCCATTCATGACCTTTCTCTTAGATTCAAAAAAAGATGGAGATGTTAATATTCATCATATCTTCAACTTTGTTGTTATCTAGCCCTTGCCATGCTGACACAAATGAGAATACCGGTTTACAATGTTCTGAATCTGATAGGGCTACCAATAGCAGTGACTACGAAGTCAATCTGAGCGGTATGCTGAATTCACTCGCTGCAAATGGGCCTATCCACGATGGCTTCTACACGACCGAAGCCGGAAAAGGTGCTAACAAGATCTATGGCCTTGCACAATGTAGAGGTGATATTTCCGCCGCAGACTGTGCCGCCTGCATCAAGAATGTTACCACGGTACAAGGCTGCTCAAACAGTAGAAAAGCTACGATTTGGTTTACGTGGTGTTTCCTACGATACTCAAACACGAGCTTTTTCGGAGAATGGGATCAATCAGGAATGGCAAGTTACAACGATACCAATTTTGAAGATCCAAAAGTGGTCTCGGAAGCACTTAACTTCACGAACACGCTGGTATCTACAACTCCGAGCCAGCCTTTAATGTACCAGACTGCAGTATTGGATGTTGGACAGAACGGAAAGAGGTATGGCATGGCTCAATGCACCAGAGATCTCAGCAAGAGTGATTGTGGTATGTGCTTGGAATTTCAATTGGTGACTTACAAAAACTCAGTTGGAAATAAGAGAAGTTGGGATATTTATGGGTTTAGCTGTAGCTTGTGGTACCGTGATTACCAGTTCTACAATATTTCAACCCCAGCAAAGGGAGGTGAGTTCAGTGAATTCACTAAACTATAGTTCTTTTATTTCACGATTAAGGGTATTTTTGATTGATTTATGCTTTAATTGAGACTATTTTTTTCTTTCTAATTTATTAATTGCAAATGTCGGTCCAAGTTCATTTTTATCGTCAGCTGGTATTCACATATTCTTGTCACTTGGCAATACTGCAGGCTCCACAAGATCCTCACCACATCAAGTTGCAATTGGCATGGCCATTCCGGCGCTAGTGTTTCTTTTAGTTCTTTAGGTATTGAATGCCTCTTTTGTTCACAGAAAACTTGTTTTCTTTTTGGTGAAAATCTGTGCTTTACGAACCTATATATTAAACTAAGAGTGAAATACAGGATCCTATCACGTCATAATATAAAATTAGCTAATCAATCGACAACTAGATTTGCTTCCCGATACACATGTTGAATCTTCACCTCCTATTCTCTATCCAACAACCTCTTGGCCTAGTCATTTAAAGCATAGTTTGCATATATCCACCTTACTTTGATTTCTGAGATGAAGTCGATCACAAGAGTTGAATCTGACTCTAGAACCAGTTTTCTAATTCCCTTCTAGGCCACCTCTAAACTGCATATCACTGCCCACAATTCAGCCTTAATCGAAGAGCAGTAACCAGTGTTGATAGCAAAGCCTATAATCCAAGATTCCATGCTATCACGAAAAAGTCCTCCTGAGCCAGCAGCAGCCGGCTTTCCTTTACTACATCCATCCCTATTAAGTTTCATCAATTGGTCAGGAGGGTATTTTCATTTAACATAGTGGTAAATTAAGGTTTTATCGATATATCTTTACCAAAAAACACTAAATTAAAAAAAAATTACGAGTATAAATTTTTTAAAAATCAAGCACGCTCTAATAAAAACACGCTGAGTAGTGTGCCAAGCTTCAGGTCATTGGCGTGACAGTGTGTCAAGCAGAGAGCATATCAAATATGATTGGACTTGGTAGTGTGTCAAACTTGGATATGCTAGGTCTCACATTGATAAGAGCCATATGTGAATGAATTTGGTAGGGTACCAAGCATCAATAATGATAAATATAACATTAGCTAGACCCAAATGCAATTGGGCTTGACAATATATGAGGCCTTGGGCATGCCTAAAAAAATAATCATCCTCCATTGGCACACCAAAAAATAAAATAATTTAATGTGAGTTTGATAAACATACCAAAACCAAAGTATACGGACTTGATATTTAGCCAAATTTAAAGTAACGTCGATTTGGCAAATATACTAGACTCAAAACATTTGGACTTGATAATTAACCAAGTCCAAGGTCACAACCATCCTCCTTTTGCATACCCCAAGTAAAGACCATTCTAGGGGTGAGCAAAAAAAACAAGAAAATCAGAAAAAATAATTGAAAAAATCGAACAAAAAAACAAATTAAAATTTTAAAAAATTCAGCTGGTTTGGTTCGATTTTGATTTTATAAGAAAAAACCTAAAAAACTGAACCGAACTGAAAAAAACAATAAAACAGAGTCAAATCAGAAAAACCAAGCTAAACTGAAAAAAACGAGCCAAAACAAAAAAATGAGCCAAAACCGAAAAAACCGAGTCAAATTAAAAAAATCAAACCAAACCAATTTGAACCGGTTTTATCCTAAAAACCAAAACTGAATCGAAACTAGTCGATTTGAACTCAGGGTTTGGCGCTCTACGAAGCCCAATCGCATCTAAGTCCAGCTAGCGCTAGACCCAGCGTGCTCGGGGCTTGCATACTACCACGTCTAGCATTCTGAGGCTTAGCACATTGCCAAGTACATCATGCATTTACTGACCCATGATTGTTTTCTTGAAAATTTATACTCATAAATCTTTTTTAATCTGATTTTTTTGTAAAAATATATTGATAAAAACTTGGCTTATCATAGGGTGTATCAAGCCCACAAATAAAGCTTATATTTAAGTCCAGACACTTCATGCCTAAAAGATAGCCATAAAAAGCTAAAAGCAATATAGTGATAATCTCTTTTATGATTATACATGAATTATCAGTGCGATGCTATCTTTTTTGTCAATGGTTATCTCCCTCAACCTGTGTTCTTATAAGGCTCCAACTTCTTTACCAATGGCTTTCTCCACCAAATTCTTTACTTAAAGGACATCAACTTTGTATGCCAATCATCCTCGAGTGTCCATCCTTTTTACCAATAATATAACAAGGCACGATAACAAACAATTTAAATTTTAAGATTATTTATATGGAAAAACAATTATTTTTTATCGTTACTTTACTTTTCATGAGATAAGTTTATGTGATCAAGATATATAAATATTTTAGATTACCAAGCATTAAGGACATCATATAAAACATAAGTTCATACAATAACAAATAAGCCATCACAATATTTACTCTCCTAACATCTTTTGCTCTCTTGATTACAGTCTACTTTCCTCCTATGACTTACTAATTCAAACATTGAAGAATATATCTGATTTAAATTTATTTTTTTTATGTGATGCGTAAAAATAAATTTATTTGATTTGTTTATTCATTGATGCCAGAGTCAGGAATAAAAAAATAATTGATTTAAATTTATTTTGTTTTTATAGCTACGTGATATTTACCAACGCCAGAGTTGGA